CTGCGAATTTTAACTGTGGAATTTGTGGGCTTGAAAATATTTGTGCTGAATATTTAAAAGGTGAATTATTATTTTTGATAAATACAGAAAAAGCATGCTTAAAATGTTAGCAATTAAAATTGAGAAAATAATAATAATAAATAATTCAAACATCCTTTTTCAAGGTTACAAAAGTGTTTCAAAGTGAGAAATTCAGCGGTATTTAGAATTCAAAATCTAATGGAACAAATTATCTTCCATATATCCACAAATGTTGAACCTGGTCACTTCTTTTTAGTGTATTACAACTAAAAAACATTAGCTGCCCCCATCTGTATTAAATATTATTCGACAGAACGCTCGACATGACACGATTTTAAGCAAACGTTAAAAACAATGAGGAGGATTCTTTGTAGAACTCCATTATGAGAGGCCAGGAGCAGCGCTTTCCTTGTAAAACAGGTTCAAAGTAAAGAGAGTGGTGAACATTAACAGAGCGCATGTGTTTTGTTATGAGTCTCTTCCTGCTCGTCTTTATGTCACACTTTTATATCACTGAGATAAAAGCGCTGATGTAAAATGGGAGCTTACAAATGTGATGTAAGAGCAGAGGTGAAAACTGAAAGGTCTTGTATTACACAAAGTTGACTCTTGTGAGCTTGTAGCCATTTTAGAATGTTGTTACGGCATCAGAAACATTCGAGTTGTGTTGTTTCATTCATACATGTGTCAGTAATTTTTTTTTATTACTCTGTCTACATCTACAAAGACAAAATGCTCCTTTTACCTTTAGTTCAGTACAGATTGGATATTCCAGGGCTGAAATTATCTAAATGATTGTAGTGAAGGTGTATGCCCTTTTGAGTGAATTTGAATTGAGTGATTTTCATTTGAGAACTCAGCCTAAATCTGCAGGGTTTGTGTGAATGAAACAAGACACAATACCAGGTCTGTTTGTGATGAGGAAATATTATAACATAGATCAGAAAATAACATAATATGGGCCTATTGACAACATTAGGAGAGCAATGAACTGTGCCAGTGAGGAATAACTCCAAGAAAATGCACTTACCGTATTTTCCGGGTTATTAGACACGCTCTTAAGCCTCTAACCCCATCAAAAAAACGACTGCGCGCCCCACAATCCAGAGCGCCCTATACACGAATCCACTCGGGTGTCCCAGCACAACTTTAGTAAACTACAAACCCGCAGCACCCGCAGCGCACACAAACACACACGGAGCAGACAGCGACCGCACAGCGAAACACACCCACAGACACACTCATCACTCCACGCCGACGAGGAACGGAACGAAGGAACAAACGGAAAAAGTGAGTGCAATGTGCCGCTTCTAGACACAACTGAACAACTGAGTCACTGCGAACACACCGACAATCCAGCGGTCCCAGACAGCACCCTCCCTACACACTACAACTGAACAAAGCCCAGAGTCACCGTGAACGCACCAAACAAAGTCCCACTGACCCATCCAACTGTTGTGTTTCCTTTAAAGTCTGGTGCGGTTTATTTGTGAAAAAAGTTCGAAAATAGACCATTTAATGACAGTGAGCCTTATAATCCAGAGCGCCTAATAGCCCGGAAAATACGATAACTAAGTAATTATTGTTGACCTAAAATGATGACCAAAATATAGAGGTGTATTTAACACTTGAAGATGCACTACGTAACCTTGAGGTTTCATCACCTGCTTGTCTCCATGGAGATGTAGCTTTGCTTGGAATGTTCCACACTAAAGCATTAAACATAACTATCCTGCATTTATTCAATGACAAGAGTTTTTCATGCTAAAATTACTACCAAAACATGAATACTTGCAGTGAGCAGGTTCACCTCTGCACAGATCTGACCTGTAACTTAGCCTGGTGAAACCAACAACTTGCCTCCATGAAGGCAGACAAGTTTAATGCCATACTGTGGGACTTTCCAGGCAAAGAAATAACATCTCCATGGAGACAAGCAGGTGCACAACTTCTACCACTGAGTGAAAAGAGAAGACAAGATCAAAGCTCCAAATATTATAATAATGCAGGAGTCAAAAACGCTTCACAGTTTTGTGCATAAGTAGGTTTATGAGAATAAAACAGAGCACACAGGTGTCCTTAAACACATACATGTACATATGTACATATATGACCTCATGTATGTGTTTAGGGACACCTGTGTGCCCTGTTTTATTCTCATGCTCTGATGAAGAAGAACAACATTCAGCTCGTCCAGAGGCATTGAAATGTCTACCTCATGTAATTAAGGACTTTTAATATAATCAGTTGGGTTTGTACAGTGCTCCTTTATGTTTTTATTTTATTATTACTATTTTTAGATTAAATCATTTTTAAATTATTAAGTAATGGCCACATTTTGCTGAGATTTGAGCCCAACTATTGAAGAGCACATCATGTGATTTAAAAGATATTTTTATGACCCAGTGATGCGCTCTATCTCTCCTCATAATCACTGAGCAATTTTGATTTTATTTTAATTTTGTTTAGTTTTAGTGCATGAAATGTCCGGCTAAAATATTTGATTCATGGTTTAAGGTTGTAGCTTTACATTCAGACTTCTAAGTGAAACTCTCCAGGCTGATTCAGGTGCAGATGCAGTTGCTGGTTGATGCTGCGCTTGTGTCTCATGTTTTTTAACCAAGGTTTTTCCTCCTGTTTCCCAAAGAGCCAGACACAGAGGGCGGCACTGAGCACACACCAAAAGAATATCTAATGAGACTGGAGACTGCAGGACATTTTTATAGAGCTCCTGCTTATTGGAAATTTATAGTTGTAGGTATCAGCACCCACAAAATCAATAAATAGAATTCTAAATGTTACGCACTGTATTGTCTACTATAAAAATTGAGAAATTATGTCTGGGAACGTCAATAAACTTGGAAGAATGAATAGCATATTGTCTGAACAAGTTGTTTTGGGATGAATAAAGCATGGTAAATGGTAAATGGTCATATTTACCATTCACCACATCACCAGTAACCTTTGTAACTGTGGACAAACACACTCTACCAGTCGAGCTGCTGTGCTTAATTCAATTGGCGAATTGCATTATTGTTTCCCCTCCCATTATTTTGGCAGGGCCGTTAACAGCTCCCCCGGCCCTGTCAATCAGTTTATGCAGCTAATCACCATCAAAACAAACATCTCGACCAAATCTGTTCCAGAGCTCCACAAGAAACTACTGTATTAAAGAGCTCGTACCCCACTGTTTTCTCATCGATGTTTTAATGTTGTTTCCTCATCACAAACAGACCTGGAGTTGTGTTTTGTTTCTTTCACACATGTTTAACACATAAACTCTGCACATTTAGGCTGAGTTTGTTCCACTTTGTGATGTCATGTGGTAATACAGAAGTGCTCCACTGTGTTTTTAAAATCCACACATCTTCACTAGAATCATTTGGATCATTTCAGCCCTGGAATTTCCAATCTCTACGGAACTAAATGTGAAAGGAGCTGTTCACTTGAAAACTTTTACTACATGACATCAGCAGGTGGAACAGAGCATTTTGAGATTTGGAGATGTAGACAGACTGTGATATGTTTTTGATGAAGTAATATTATAGCTCACATGAGTCACTTTTGTGTAATATAGGACCTTTAATATAAATCCAGTCCATAATTGCTCTGTGCCGGTCTAATCCAGTCCACCACTCAAAGTGATCCTGTTTTTTATATTAGAGTTTGTAGATGATCATGTAAGTAAACAAATCGACAAACAAACCGATTTAAATTGGTCTGTTAAATGTATTAGGTCATTAGAATTCATAAGTGCAAATGATTAAGACCTTAATATAAAATGAACCTTAATGTGAAATTAAATTATAAGTTCAATTAATTTAAACATTCAAACTTCTGAAAGTGTTTATAAGATGTTTTACAGCCATTTCATTGTTTTAAACAATATTAAAGACGTGGAATTTATTACACCAAGAAAAATGACAATGAAACAATGAATCTATTTAATATATAGGTCTATATGTTTCTCCTCCACGTGCATGAGCACATGTTGTGCACGTGCATGTACACAGTTATTTTGGAGTACAAAACTAATTTGAGATTTTTAAAAGATCACTGAAATAAGCAAATTATCTGGTCATAGTTGTGTGTCAGTGCCTCAGTCTGTGTTGAGGGGTATTTTTCAAATCAAATCATGTCAGTGCATGACCTTGATTGTTTTGCCTGGATTATTCCACGAAATGGCGTGACACCTAACACCATATCTCCACGGAGACAGGCAGGTGACGCCACTTTACCAAGTATTTTATGGCAATAAAAACGCCTGAAATGGAAAAAATGAAAGATTGATACTTTTATACCATACTGTAGAACATTCTAGGTAAAGCTATAACATTTTCATGAGACAAACAGATGACAGATCCTCCACTGGAAAAGTCACATAATACACCTTTAGAGTTCTGCCTTGTTGTGAAGCACTTTATGACCATGATTGAGAAAAGTGCACAGATTACATAAATTAAAGGCACTGTTCCTGATTTGAAACTCTTAAAAATATGAAAAACAAAACTAGTTCATTTTAATCAGTTTGCAGTGGTCCAGAGTTAATCCTCACTTACACATTCAGAGCATCATAATTATTCAACAGGATAAATTTATAAGCGCTTTTCACAACTTTCAGAGACCAGAGCAGAGTTTTGTTGTGACAGTAAAGCAAACAACAACTAGCAATCCTAACGCACACTTCCTAATTATCAGACAATAAAACGATTTCTAATCAGATGCAGACAGTAAACAGCAGACATTTGATTTTGATCTCAAGAGCTGCTTATACAATCAATTTGTACTGGGCCAATGACAAACTTTGCTCAAAAACATGGGAGAAAATTGGGTAAAGACATTTGAATAATCTGATAACTCCAGAAATCAGATTATGGTCATATTTGTTATTTTATCTTGAATTAAAGGCCCTGGAACCAATTGAGGCAAAACAAACTTTGCTCAAATAACTTAAAAATGTAAAAAAAAATCCTACTCACTCTCCACCACGGTCTTGCGGTCCGACCCGTCATCACTGATCTGCTGTATGTTCCCAAAGTGAATATCGCTGAAGAAGATGCGGTTGGCGCCTTTCCCCCCTCCTCCCCTGTAGTCGAAGGTGAGCGCGATGACGTTTTTCATGTGGTCGGGGTCTTCGAAGGGCTTGATGGGGGCGTTGAGGTTGTTTTCGTCGGACAGGTGCACGCTCTTCAGGATGGTGCGTTCGGAGTAGAGCAGGTAGCCGTCGTAGTCGCTGCAGCTCTGTCCGTCTTCCGCCAGCATACCGTGAGCGCAGGCGCAGGTCCGAGCCCCGTTGCCGCGGTAAAGACACAACTGGTGACACCCGCCGTTGTTGATTTTACACACATTTGTTCCTGCGGGTAGAAACGTCACAGGTTAAAAGATGTTGACATAAATGGAAAGCTTATGTTCAGTAGGGTTGTCAAAAGTATCGAAAATCAATAATATTCCATCCTAAAACTAGTATCGAAATTAGATACTCATTTGAGCAGGTATCAGTACTAAAAAAGTCATATTCACAGGACAGAAATGAACCTTTCCTGAATAGCTTTAGAATAATCTGGAGTTTTTTTGTTGTGTTAGTGGAATCAGAATCGGTATTGAGTATTGAGTCTATTCCTTAGTACTAAAATCGAGTTGAATTTTTTATATTGTGACAACACTCTCACAATACTGAAAAATGCAAAATTCTAAAAATGACCTTTATTAAAATAGAATACAAACTATGTGTAACTACCACTAATTAAATGGGAGAAATGTTACTTTAAAAGATATCCTGGCACTCAGATTCTTAAGGATTAGGATTTAAATAGGGTGACCAAATGTCAGTTTCTCCCTGGACATGTCAGTTTTTTACGTCCTGTCCTGGCTGTCCAGTTTTTTTTTTTTTTTATAAAATAAGGCAAATGTCTGGGTTTTCATGATCTTTCATTGGGCCATTAAACTAAGCATCTCTCGTAGCTCTCTGTGCACTCAGAAGGAGTGAGCAGACACAAACAGTCGGTCAGTCTGCAACATGCCGAAGTGCAAATGCAAATTTAACAATGACTTGTACAAGAAATTCTCTGCTTTCCGTCCCGGCTGAGACAAGTTGGAGGCCATGTGCACAGTGTACAAAGCAGCACATATGTTTCAGTGTCAAGTGGGGGTGCCAAAGCGTTAAAAAGTTTTGCCAGGTGACAGTAGCTCAATGTCGATGACGAGGCCCGACCTCCCACCCCCTGTACGGTGCCCTGGTTTTGACAAATGCAAATATGGTCACCCTAGATTTAAACATCACAAAATGACTAGACTGAAATAGAACAAAGAATCATGGTCTTCCCTCTGTTTTTTGGTGTACTGCTGCAACAAGCAATACATAGGGGTGTGTAATCCAGAGTACTGTACCGGGTTGGGTATCCCGCAAATAGTTGTTGAAATGGGCGGGTTTTAACGTTCTGGAATTTTTTTTCTGAAATTGGTGGGTATGAGGGCGGGTAGTGATTACACACGGGCAGGTCAGGTGAATCAAACGAACGATGAACAAGAGAAAAATACTTGACGCAGGTCCAGGACCTCCGTTGCCCTGGAAACAAATGACATTTCCTGGTCTTTTCCTGGAATGATGGACCAGATTGAGAGAAACGTTAGTGTTTTTATTACATAAACACATCAGCGAAGGTGATCAGCTCGGTTGCTGCGCTCCTGCTTTACTCCTGGTTTAGACTTATTTTTTTATTTTATTTGCTTGTTTGGAGGATAAGCTCCTAGAGATGTCTCACCATCTCCTTTTCGACCTCAACTGGTTAAGGCCTGGTTTGGACCTGGTTCAGTCCTGGTTCAGTCCTGGTTTGGACTGGTTCAGTCCTGCTGTAGTTCTGGTCCAGTCCTGGTGTAGTCCTGGCGATCAGCTCGGTGGTTGTGGCGTGTATATATTTATAATCTGCTAATAACAAAGCGTAGGTTCAGTCCTGGTTTAGTCCTGGACTACTGGGCTGTCAGACTGTTGGTCTGACCCTGATTTATCACAGGCACAGGTGGGTAATGGGTGGAATGTTAACGGGTCCGGGCGGGTGTGGACTTAACGCTGATATAATCACGGGTTAACGGGTGTGGTGTGGTGCTGTACTTGCACAGGTGCGGGTGTGTGTGGGTCTCCAAAAATAGACCAGTGCAGGACTCTGGTGTAATCTGATATACAATTCACATTAATATCATATAATATAAGAGAGATTAAAAAAAAATCGCAGTCAAGGACACCGCCACTTCTGCGACTCGCGTTATCCTATGTTCAGATTGTCCTGGCTCGATCCCGGTTCAGTTTTGATACAGGGTTTGTCCTTAGTTTCAAGTTTTGTTTAATTTCCAGTCGCGCCTCTTACCCTGCTGTCTGGCCTTGTTGAAAACTTTGATGTCCTTGAGCTGAACTCCGATGCCTGTCCTCAGAGACACAGAGTCGGTGGCGTTGTCTTTGCTGCCGCGTTTTATCGAACCGTTGGCGTGAGTCCTGAAACACAACACAACAAAAAGAAATTTTACGAAAAATAAAAGACATACTGTATCTGTTCGTAATTCTCAGTTATCCATAGTAAGTAAGAAATTGTTTTTCTTTATATTTTATTCATAGTAAATTGCAATGTGATTCTCTGCTAAGCCCACCTCTGCATAGATGAGTTTTTTTCTGATAATTGCAAAATAGCACAGAGCTGTGGGTGGGAAAATGCTTTCCTCAAACATGCATCAAACACTTAAAAACTAATGATGAGAGAAAAGCTCTTATTAGTTCATTTTAAATCATTTTTGTTGTTGTTTTTACGTAGTCCTGATAAATAAAGTCAGTTAGTATATGGAAGATAATTTGTTCCATCAGATTTAGAATTTTAAATACGACTGAATTTCTCACTTTGATTTTTTTTTATCTGAAAAAAGATGTTTGAATTCTTTTTATTCTGAATTTTAGTTGTTGACATGTTAAGTATACTTTTTCAATATGTTTAAAATTCTAAATAAAAAAATCACCTTTTAAATATTCAGCACAGATATTTTCAAGCCCTCAAATTCAAAAGTCAAAATTCAGATTGTAAAGTTCACTGTGTAAAATTTCACAACAAAGATTCACGATGTCAAGGCAGAAGCAATCGATCCTGTGTGAGCGAGAAGGACAGAGGCTGTTTCCTATTGGCCGCTCTCATTTGTGGGCGGGGTTTGAGGTTTTGATGAGGCAAATTTTGACCAATCGCTTCACTGCACCATTTCCTCCTTGTTACTAACTTATGCCGGGTGTACACTGTGCGATATTTTCGGTCGTGTCACTCAGCCCCAGCTTAAACTGTACGACCAAATCACAGGGTTTAAAAGTTCACAGCTCACGAATCATGTTCTCACACTGTACAAACCGATGCTCGGATGCGACTTGCCTGCTCACACTGTACGTTCACATAACGACCGGAGTTGTCAAAGTTGTTGTTCCGGAAGTAGAAAACCACGAAGAAGAAAACCACGGAATTAGAAAACCACAGATGTGCGGAGACACAATGCTGAGACACTTCTGTGTCCGCGCATGCTCAGTCTGCCAGATTCTGGCAAATCGGCTCGTGGAACAACTTCAACAGAGCGAAATCCTCACGAGAGGCGACTGGATTTCAAACAAGTTTGATTTTCTTGCGACCTACGAATGTCGATCTGGAGCTGGTCGTGAGTCATTAATCGGTTCTCTTTACCCCATGTAAACTACACGAAGCACGACACACGATGAAGCCAAAACTCGGCCCGATCCCCAAAACAGTCGCACGAGGGAAAAATCGGCTCAAAAAGGGTCAAAAATCGCACAGTGTACGCCTGGCATTAGATTGATTACTTTTGGATTCCTTTGGATTCCTTAGGTCTTGGCATCTTGGATTTTTCCTCCGAATTTTTTTCACTGCGAATTTTACACTCTTGAATTTGAGGGCTTGAATATATTTGTGCTGAATATTTAAAAGGTGACATTTTTATTTTAAATTTTAAACACTTTTAAAATGCACGCTTAAAATTTCAACAACTAAAATTCAGAATAAAAATTAATTCAAACATGTTTTTTCAGAGTTAAAAAATTCAAAGTGAGAAATTCATCGGCATTTAAAATTCAAAATCTGATAAAACTAATTATCTTCCATATTAGTATACTTATAATATTTGTTTTATTTATCAGTCATGTATTTTGCATTTGTCCACAACTGTAAAAACTAAATCTTTTGAAACAATTAAAGGTTGTATAGAGGATTTTTTAATGGAAAAGAAATACAGCGACAGTCCTTTTTCAAATGTTGTGCATGCGTGACACCACCTTCCTCCTCCACCGCTCCCTCAATAGAAACATCTCCTCCCGCTTCTTTACTCTAGAAATCACACTTGTTTACAGCCAGTGCGTGTTCAGAATTACTGTTGAAGTGACCTGTCTAGAAGTCATTTAGCAACCGACGTGTCCGTTTTTAGACCCTTCGTCTGCTTCATTCGCGCCATCGCTGGAAGAAATCTCCAAGAATCACCTCAGTTTGGCTTTGCTCCTTTTCCCCTTCTCTTCTTTTTTCAGCGACCGCAAAAACTGACTTTCTTTTGCGGCGAACTGGTCGTGGATTCTCGTCCGCCATTGCAACAAACTTTGTGCGAAATGCGAGGAAGCTGCAGTTTAAAAAAGCCTCTAAGAACCGCTACATAAACCACGTAATCCCCGCAAGCCGACGAGTCAGGGAGTTTGATTGACAACCTAACAGCCAATAGAAAATGAGGCAAGCCTCATTTTCTATTGGCTGATGTTTATCTGGCCTCACTACGTCCACAGTTGATAGATTTTCATTCTTTTTTTTTTTTTGGTCATTATAATTACAAGGCTGCTGCGTCTCTGTAATGGTATTTTAAACTTTCACTGACAATTTGAAACAAAAAAAAAAATCCTCCATACAAACTTTAACCTGTTTAAATGCTCTATTAATGTACTTTGTGTGTGTAAGCGTGTGAGACCTGTCGCTCCAGTAGATGTATCCCTCAAACACAGACACAGAGAACATGTCCATGTTGTTGTTGGACAGGACCACCTCTCTGTTTTCTCCTGTCTCCAGGTTTATGCGCTCGATCTTATCTGTGCGAGCGTCACACCAGTACAGCAGCCCGTCCTACAGAAGAGAGACACAAAAACGGACAGGTTAAGAAGGATTCACCGTATTAACGCATTTAATAATTTAACAAAGCAGAAAATAATTGCTTTTTCTCTGTAAACTAGTTCATGACTCTGTTAATACTTTGCAGTGATGTTCTACATGTATGTGTTTTGACAGAAAGTTCAGAAGTTACGATGGTGGCACAATACATACAAACACTGCCCAGAAAGTTTTAAGATCGTCTGAAAACTCAAGAAAAGATACAAAATGGATTTAAACAGCACATTTTCAGGAGCAGGTGATCAATACGAGCGTTCACAGTCCTATCTGTTGGCTAACCAGCTAGATTGTGACTGTAATTGTATGTGAGAGACTTGTTTACCAGCACAAATCAGCTTTTTCTGGTCAGATTGTGTTAAAATAAAGATCAGATTAAAGTCTAACTTGAGTAAACAGAGCTTCAGACAGAGCAGTGCCTACATTTATCATCACTCTCCTGGGGAATATTGATGACATCAGCTGCAAAGTATCAATATTATAGATTATATTATACTTTTGCTGATAAAGTCGATCTACAGTACCTCATAGTCGATGGAGATGCCGTTGGGCCAGCTGATACTGACGTTGACCAGGACCGCCCTCTGAGAACCGTCCAGACGAGAGCGCTCGATCCTCGGGTACTGTCCCCACTCCGTCCAGAACAGGTACCTGCCCCACAACACACACACACAGAGAGGTAAATAAGAAGAATAGGTAAATGTAATCTGAAAGAGAAAATTCTCTATGGGCTCTTATAAAATGCACTAACCCTGTAGTTTAGATCTGTACAAACATGTTCTCAAATATGTTTTTTGCAGTTCATATTTCTGTCTTCTCAAATGTGACCTATTTGCCTAAAAAATTGTGTGAAAATTTTATTTTGTTAATTAAAGCCACAGTGTTTCCCAGCCAACCATGCCCCCACCCTGTCAATCAAATTACACAGCACTAAACACCAATCATCAAAACAAACATGTTTATCAAATTTGTTTCGCTAAGTGCTGGCATATTACGTTACAATTGTAATACATTATATATTACTAGTTATAATGCTAAAATTGTAAAAGAATAGAATAGAAATAGAAGGCCTTTACACACAGTATAATGAGATGCAGAGCTGCTCCGTCAAAGTATAATAAAATACAATTATATCATAAAACTAAAAGTACTGTCAACTACTAGCTACTACACATGTAAAATAAAAACTTGTGCAAACCCACCAGGGGTACACAGACAGACAGACACGTACCAATAAATCAGTCTTGAGACTAAAGTGACTAAATGGCTAGCAGCATTAAAACTGTGGAGGTGTCATTGGCATTGACAGTGCAAATGAACAGTTCTCAGTGCAAGACTGAGTTTAGTTTGGTGACAGCTTTGGGAAAGAAGCTGTCCCTAAGTCTGTTTGTTCTGGATGGTATGGACCTGAGGCACCTGCCAGAAGGCAACAGGTTGAAGAGGTGGAAGCCGGGCTGTGTATTGTCCTTTATGATGTTCCTCTCACTGCTGAGACAGCAGGAGTTGTAAATGGTGGATATGGAAGGCAGAGGGCAGCCAATGATTTCCTGTACAGTGTTGGTGACCCTCTGCAGACGCTTCCTGTCAGCTTCTGTGCAGCGAGTGCTACACTGACACAGCAGAGGTCAGGTTTTATATTTATATTACAATAATAGAGTCTTAAAAACTACTTTGCATTACTTTGAGTTATTTGTCGTGGAGTTATTTTTGACGTCCCAATTGTTAATTTACATTATATGTTTCTGACATCGAGAAACTGCTTGCCACTGTATTTTATAAAATTGTCCATATTTCATTTGTTTAAGAAAATTTCTGCTTCATATGAGCCACAACCAAAAACAAACAAACAAAAATACAAAAAATATATATTGAGTTTAACCTCTGCCCCCCCTTCTGGGACTCTCACCCACAACTTGAGAACCACTATTCTAAACAAACTTTCACTTGCTCTTATCACATAGTCACAGTTGTACATTTTTAGTGCAAATTACACTCATCATTGCACATTATCACATTGAACTGGAGTTAATCCCAAGAAAATACTGGATCCACAGAAATCCACTCAGTGTTTCCTCTCATTGTTTGTCTGAGCGCATGTACCCAGGCAAACCAGTAAACTCTGAACTATATTACTGATTTGTAACTTTTCTGGTGGAGGTTTCACCATGAACTTCCACATTATGGGGGACAGATGGGGGACAGATTATACACAACATACACAGCTACATCTGTCTACACTGTCCCTGTCTAATGAATAAATGAATAAAAGACTTGCCCTCTCTCGGGGTGCACGGTGATGGCCCGGGGTTTGTCCAGACCCTGTGAGATCACCACGTATCTGAAGGAGCCGTTCAGTCGAGCCACTTCGATCACGTCAAAGCCCTGGTCCGTCCAGTAAATGTTTCCTGTCACAGAGAAGAGAGCGACAACACGTGTAAGTGTAAATAAGTAAACAACACACTTCTTATAATACTAGCTCTTAACAACATCCTAATCAACAAAAGCCTAGAAGCATTCATGTACAACAGGGGCATCATACTATTATAGACTACAGTAATAAGGAGTTTGGTGGACATTTTTTGCACCAGAATAAGGTTATGCAGAATAAGATATGAATAAGGGCTGGATAAAAATTATTATTAACCACGTTACTGCAATCTGTACCCTAAAGCGGCAGGTTTATCAGTCATTGGCCACTGGTGATTTAAGAGGGTTTTCACAGATATTAATGTTGAAAATGTAGCTAATATTTTTGCCCTGATATTTAGTAAAAATATGGCTGTATGTTTACACAATCATAGAAAGATACACTATGTAACTTTTCTGGAGGAGGATAGGCCATGCGCATGTCTCCATAGCGAGGTGGAGAGGCAAGCAAGGGTTTTTTGAGCAATAGAAATACCTGAAGTAACTGAATAAATGCAAAATAGTTCAGTTTAATCCCATAGTGTGGAACATCTTGCCGAAGCAATGTCATCTTAGGTATGGTAGGTATGGTAGTTCTTACGGATTTTAAAAGTGTAACATCAGCATCTTATCAGCCCCAACAGCAAGACTAATACTGGATATCAGTATTGGCTCCAAAAATCCACATTGGACCTTCCCAAGGGCATCTACATCGACTGAAAGCTGCCCTGTGTGAGTGATTCTCCAGCAGGAGTCTGACCTGCGATCCAGTCGACAGCGATGCCCTCCACGCGCCCGATACCGTTGGTCACCACGTCCTCTCTCCACGTCTGGTCCCGTTTGGCTCTGCTGATGGTGCTCAGGCCCATGTCCACCCAGTAAATCGTGTCATTGTCTGAGGAGAAAACACATCTCAGTAAGAAAGTGAAGTAAGTATATTTATTACTATGACACTGTATGAGAAATGTGAAGATAATGTTCATGTGTAAACAGACTTTGTTTGGAGACATGGATTAACTGAACACAATATTTAATACATACTGGCAGTGTTGTGATAGAAATCCAAAAAATAATCTGAAGTTGGCAACAGTGGGACTAACCAAACAACAAAACAAAACTAAGGCCATACTTTTGTAAAGCTAAACTATTGTAGCAGCTTGTAGTTGCAGCATTTATAACAAACATGTTTTGACATCTGAAACGCTCAGAGCACGTATGCCAGTGATTTATGAACTTAAAAACAGGGCAGGAGACCTTTGAAGGCACCATTTATAAGATTACTGTAGGTAGTGTTCACACTTCACACACCACATCAAGACTGAGGCTAAACACAGAACTAAAGCAGGACTAGAACAGGACCAGACTAAAAACACAGTCTTAATTTTGGAAAGACTAGTCACATTTTTGAGTGTTTTACTTAAAAATTGTACAACTGAAAAAAGAAGAGGTATGAAAATGACTCAGAAAAAGACAATTTCATCCAATATTTAATTTATCAAAATGTATGTACTGTAGCTGAGAAAGAGTGCATTCACACTTGCATCAAAACTGGGACTAAATTCAGAACTAAACCTGAACTAAACCTTAACTAGACCAAGATTAAACAAAGTTACATCAGGACTCAAACTGGGCTTAAAACAGGACCAAAACATGTTCACTCTAACTCTACCACTGACAGTAGAACAGTGCCATGTGTGCTGCGCTGTCTAACTGAGTCTATTATAAAGTGATGTCTTACCAGCGTGGAAATCTATGCCCACAGCCAGAGAGGTGCCCGACACTGGCACCAGGGCGTCAGACTTATCTGCAGGGTCCAGAGGGATGCCCCGGATGCCCTCATGAACAGAGTACAGCAGGAACGAGCCCACACCTGCAGGGGGAGCCACACAGCAATTTAGATACACAAAACTGGTTTGTGGTACAACATGGTTAAAGAACACCGGCATGAGGCAAAACAGAGCACAATATTACAGAGATAGGCTGCATGCAGCTTTACACACAACATCAACAACTGGAAATAAACAAGGATTAAACCAGGACTACAACAAAACCAAGTCTACATCAAGATTGAACTGTGTCCTAGTGTGAATGGGTCAATATGGAGGTTTTTGTTTGACAGACAATCACCTACATGAGTGTAATATAAAAAAAAACAAGAAAACTGAGTATACCTATTAATTCACATTAACATTCAAGAAAAGTTAACTGCAAAATGATCTCTATAATCCAATCTAAACCAGGTCTAAATCCAAACAGATTTGTAAAGTTTGAACTGCAGACCTTACAAAACAAAAGAAAAATCACAAATCAAAATCCTTTTTTAAAATTTTACAAAATATGTATTTCTCAATTTTATTTGAATGTGCACAGTTTATGATTATATACTATTTGTTTGTAATATTCCTGAAAGGCTCAGTGTCTAACTTTTCTCGTGGATTATGGCATCCTTATAGCATCCTTATATTTAGAGATGTTACTGCTTTGCCTGGCTGGAAATTCCCACAGTATGGCATTAAACTTATCTATCTCTATTCAGACAAGCAGCTCTGTCGAGGTGACCACATTCACAGTAAGTATGCTTGTTTTCAAGGTATTTCAGCAATAAAAAACACCTGTAATTAAATAAATGCTAGACAGATACTTTCAATGCCATACTGTGGACCTTTCAAGGTAAAGCAATTAGACCTCCATGGATTCCAACATTTAATGAAGCATCAACAGGAAGTGTTCCACAGTACAGCTTTATGACTCATTTGTCCCCTCTTACCCTCACAGGACTGCTGGCCTCGCCGCAGGCTGTACCCGGCGGTGCACATACAGGCTCTGGTGGTGGGAGACGTGGGGAGGCACAGCTGGGAGCAGTCTCCATTGTTACTACTGCACAGATTAGTGCCTAGAAACACCAGAAACAAGACAAAACACACAGAAGAATCAAACAGGAGGTCAGTGAATCGTTTACAAATGTATCCATGCTCAGATAAACACTTTCAAACAAGAGCCAAGAGGAAATGCTGTTAATGTGTCTATATGACGCTATACTGACGTACTTTCTATATAGAATAGCTTTACAGTGCTATAATGATGCTTGTGCATTAAAAACATACTTGGACTTGTTTAACTGAAGCGTGTTTCTTTCCTGGTGAATCCAGAGTGATCTCTGTTTATTTGTTATACAGACAGACATCAGTCTGCTCCTCACGCCCTCTGACGTGCCTGGAGCCACAACCAAACAGGATCATCCAATCACATTTGTTTTTGTTTTTTTCTGTGACGCATGTGAAACGAAGGAGCTCATCAGTTCTCCATCATTTACAAACAGAATCACATTTCTCTCACTTCAGAAGAACAGAGATTAGGGCTTTGCTCATTCATTCTGCAGAAATCTGTGATGTTTGTCCATCCTCTGCAATGTTTTTTCCTTTGTTTTGAAAGTGCATTTGACGAAATCATATATTTATTTACTTATTTTGATGGGATAGTACCTAAAGCAAATATTTATCATAGTTCTAAGAAATGTAGAAAACAAAAAGTTGGAAAATAGTGCACCAACTGTCATCATTTCCATCCAAAATACAGGAACAGTCTACACGCAAGGAAATCAATGTCATGTATTTTTATTTGTGAAATCGTAACTATTGTGTAATTTAGACATATTTTGGCCCTCATTAACATTATTTATGGTTTATGGTTGCTAGGTAACATACCTTTAGTAAAATCTTAAATATAATGATGTTAACTGTATTCTGGAGAAATAAATAGTCTGGCCTGTCAGATGCACTTTAAATCGAGCTGCTGAGGTCAGGTGCGAGTGCGATACCTTTCTGAACAGTCTCATTGTAGATATTTGGGTGCGGTACTTTTCTAAACAGTCTTGTTGTACATTTGTGGGTGTGGTATCATCCTGAACAGTCTCACTGTAGATTTGTGGGTGTGGTACCTTTCTGAACAGTCTCATTGTAGATCTTCATGTGCATCATGGGAGAGGTGCTGTTCCTCAAGACTTTCCAGTTTCCTCCATCTTTTTTGTCACATGTCCCGATCTGGTCCGTGCCCTGGTCGGCCCACCACAACTTATCTCCTACAAACAAAAACAGAGAAATACAAATTTGAAATTAAAGATGCTAAATCTGATTTTTACAATTTTACTGATAACAAATGTAAGGCTGATTTCGTAGGTTGTTTTCACACTATCACTGGTTAGGTTGATGTAAAAGAGCATTTGACATATGACAGTCACTTTCTGATGGACATTAAACATTCACTCCGACAGCACTTGAAACAGGTAGTCTCAGAGCAGCTGCTCTCACACTGGAGTGGGACCAACCTACAGTCCAAGGTGACAGTAACAGAGCTGGAATTAGGCAAAAAAGCTCTCAGATCACATATATTTGTATGAATACTACAGAGCTGCTATTTGACATGTTCGTCTGACCAGGGAACTTGGATCATCTTCTGCAAAAAACATGTCTTTCTGTGCAGGTGAGTGTGGGTCTGTCTGCGCAGTTGAATCTGGGTCTGTCTGTGCAGGTGAGTCTGAGTCTGTCTGCGCAGTTGAGTCTAGGTTTGTCTGTGCAGGTGAGTCTGGGTCTGTCTGCGATGGTGAGTCTGGGTCTGTCTGCAAAAATAACCTGCCTCTGTCTGCGCAGGTGAGTCTGTGTCTGTCTGTGAAGGTGAGTCTGGGTCTGTCTGCGATGGTGAGTCTTAGTCTGTCTGGGCAAGTGACCCAGCCTCTGTTTGCCCAGGTGAGTCTAGGTCTGTCTGTGTAGGTGAGTCTGGGTCGGTCTGTGAAAGTGAGTCTGGGTCTGTCTGTGCAGTTGAGTCTGAGTCTGTCTGCGCAGGTGACCCTGCTTCTGTCTGTGCAGGGGACTCTGGGTCTGTTTGTATATCTTCAAGAAACATTCTTAACTGTCACCAGCGCGCACAGTCCTCACGGTGTATTCAACCAAAAACAAAATAAAAGATCATCACGTATAGGAGAAGTGAGTGAGTGTATTCCTGGGGCTCTGTCCGCTTGAAGAAGGTTGCCATGGAAATAAGTTCTCTGATCAGCTGATGCCTCTCATGTGGCTCATGGTGCGTGTTTGGGCTTAATGAAGCGTATGTGAACAAGACCAACCCAAAAGTGAAGTAAACAGAACTAAATCTAGTGTCACTGGTGTCTGTCCAGAGAGCGAACTACCATATGAGAAACCAACTACTACAAAAAACACTGATCGACAAGTTGTTCATGCTATAATTTGGTGTTTTGGTTCAAGACATTTATCCAGTCAACATGTCTCATCTGTCATTTGGGCTGAAATCCAGTTGGTTTAACCTAAAATGCCTCCTGCAGCCAGTTATAAACCAGTGCAAGTGCAGCTGCAGTAGATCCTGTCTATGAGAATGAGAAAAACTTGGATGTGTCCTCTATAATGGACTGCCACCCCAGGTTCAGTCGTGATTGTAATACCTTTTTAAAACAATGCCCAGGTTAGAGACAGCTCCTTTGAGTCATTTTAGATCAATATTTTGGGTTTGCAATGAACAAAACTAAAAATAAAACTCTGGTGGAAAAGATATATGCCTTTTATGTATGCTTTAGGGTTGATGGGAGAAAATAGCAGTTGCACAAATCGCTTTTCAGGTCGAGTTGGGGAGAAATAAAAGAAAATCTCTCAGGTGTTTCTGTCCACTGTCATTTCAATCTGACTCATCACAATTTCATTTAAGTTTCAGAGAATAGTTTTTTCTCTTTCGCTCTGAGAAATTCACTTTGTAACAATCTGCACAAGGACGAGGAGAGGAGCGAGGACCTTTCAGTTTCAGAGCGTGTTATGTATGGTATGAGTCACCACATTCAAACAAAGATTCATTTTTATACCACGGCCAGAGAGAATTCCACTGCTAACTGCCATGGATTATTTCTATAAAAACGCTCAAATTGTCCGACAATGGTTTATTACATACAGAGGTGGCTAGTCCTCAAATACAGTGCAGTACATTTATAGCAACATACTTTTACTCCTACTTTTACTATTTTAATTGAAATAACAGTACTCATATTTTAAGGTTTTGGTTTCCCTTCCCACTGTGAGTAAGTCTACAAGTGACAAAAGCTCTATGCTGAAAATATGAAATGTTTCAAAAATTGATTTTTCAGCTTTTCCCATTTTTGTTTCTCTCCTTTAAAAATTCCAGATCAGATTTTGTGCTTTATTTCATATTCTGTCCTTCCGATTATGTCAACTTAAAATTATTCTTCTTTCTACTTGAGTAATACTATTTTGAAGTAATGATACCACTACTTGAGTACAATTTTAGACTACTCTAGCACCTCTGTTTATACATCACTAAAATATGGGCAACACTTTGAATTTAAAGATGCATTGTGTAACATTTGTGGTCATACCAGCTTGTCAAAACCTGATCCCGTCAGATCTCAGAAGCTCAGCAGGGCCAAGCCTGTTCACATGCCAGTGGCAAAAACTGTTGTTGTGTCCTTAAGTAAGATACTTCACCCACCTTACCTAGTACAGCCATGTCAAACTCAGGCCTCGGGGCCATATTTAGCCTACGATATAATATTTGGCCTGCGAGATCATATCAAATATGTATTAGAGCTGCCCACCGGCTACAGATCGACTATAGAGACATTATTTATTTAAAATGTTGTTATTATTTTATATTCTGCTTGTTCTAGATTCAATGTTTAAGCAAAACTATTATTAAACATTTATTTTGATTTAAAAAAAAAAAAGGTTTAACATTACATATCTAGAAAGAAGAGAAAACATGCAGATGTTGTTGAAAATTTTCAATAAATATTTTGTTTGGCCCATGATTTAGTCCCAGTTTTTAATTTTGGCCTCTGTCAATTTAAGTTTGTCACCCCTGGCCTAGTATGAAAGTGGTGTGTGTGAGTGATGGTGGTGATTGGAGGGGTCGATGGCGCACCACCGGGTGTGGAATGAATGAATAATGCTCTGTAAAACTCTTTGAGTGTCCAGAAAAGTGTTGTGTAAAACTGATGTATTATTATTATTATTTGTGATGGATCTCTTTGATGTTGTTTGACGTTTTCGTTTTGATTGTTATTCCTCGGTATGACATTCAACTTTAACTATGAGCCAAGAAGACAGCTGATGACATCAACTGGGCTTTGGCATGTGAGTCAAGGTTTATTTTGCTCTTTTTGGTTGAAAAGTTTTATACCATGTGTAGAACATTCCAGGCAAAGCAACAAGCAATAACATCTCTGTGTAAACAAGAAGGCGGGGAGCTCTCCATCAGAAAAGTTACATCCAGACAGTTCTTTGTACATCCAGACAGTTCTTTGTACTCGTCTAGTCTAGTGCTCATAAACAATAATGTACTTTAAAGGTCATAAATTATACAAAATTGACTCTTGTGAGCTTTACGCCAAGTTAAAAACAGACCTGTTTTGTTTCATTCACACATGTTTGAGTAACCCTTTATTAATAGTTTGTCTACATCTCCAAAGCTCAAAATGCTCTGTTCCACCTTGTGATGTCATGAAGCAGTAGTTTTCAAGTGAACAGCTACATTTACCTTTTGAGTAGTCGAGATTTGCAATTCCAAGGCAAAATGATCCAAATGATTCTAGTGAGGGTGTATAGAATTTAAAACCACACTGGAGCACTTCCTGTATTACCACATGATATCACAAGGTGGAGCAGAGTGTTTTCAGTTTGAGAGAAGAACTCAGCCTAAATCTGCAGGGTTTGTGTGTTAAACATGTGTGAATGAAACAAAACACAACTCCAGGTCTGTTTGTGTTGAGGGGCACCATTAGAACAACACAACGTAGATCAGAAATAGTGTAAAATGGGCCCTTTAAAAATAAACTATTCTATTCGAGCCCCTTTACTTAAAATTAGACGTCACAAAGGGCCACAGTAAATCATTTAAAGATAGTTCGTTAACATCAAGATGAATCAGTATTTCTGGTCTTACCCATAATGGCCAGTGCAGTAGCTTTGACCAGTTTCCCCTTCACTGCTTCGATCACTTCCAGTCCAGAGCCGTCCAAATTACAGCGGTTGATGGTGCTATTCCCGGAGCTGATCCAATACAGCTGCTCCATGTCAAAGTCAATGGACAGTCCTGTAAAAAGAATCATATACAGATGTGAAGTGAGCAGCAGTTTTGTCATGATACTAACATTTCAGACTCAACTTCGATACTAAGAAATAGACTAAATACCGATTCCGATATCACACTAAGAGCGTATACATGCACATCAGTATCCCGGTTATTAGTCATATGTCATATGCCGGTTATGTCAGTATTGAGAAACAGGGAAACTCATATCCCCGTATACATGATCAAATGTAATATCCTCGTTTCTTGACATAATCTTACAAATGTGCAAGTGCAAAAAATAACTTAATTTAATTTAATAAACCAGGAAAAATACTTAGCAGAGGTAGGTTTCTAACCAATGGCAAGGAGTTATGATCCAATACGCAGATCAAACCCAATGTTTCTAAACACAAGGTAATAGATTCTTAATTGAAATCTTCTGCATAAATAAACTCAACTTTACAACATATAAACCATAAACACTATACAGCCACATCAGCCTGTTTGACCATATAATTCAGTTTTGGGCACATTTGTTTACATTTTACAGAAACTAAACTTAAAACCACATGGCTAATTTGCATAAACTCTTAGCACAGCTCTTTCCTTGTGCGCTGATGCAGTTCAGGTTCTGTCGGACTAAAGAACATGACTCAGTGGAATATGAGTGTTCTCTCTGTGACAGAGGATGTGCTGCTGATGGTGAGTCTGTTCTGTGTATATATCATATAGGAGATGGTTCGTGTTTAACTTTTCAGAGATCATTTGTGTGTAGTTCATACGAGTGAAGATTGTTCGTCTGCAGGTTTAGCGCAGCTCTTTATTTTACAGTAATTTCACTTATGTATAGTCACTTTATTTACTGTATTTTCCGCACTATTAGGAGCTCTGGATTATAAGGCGCTCTTGTCAGTGAATGGTCTATTTTCGAACTTTTTTCACAAATAAACCAAACCAGACTTTAAATGAAACACAACAGTTTGATGGGTCAGTGGGACTTTGTTTGACGCGTTCACGGTGACTCTGGGCTTTGTTCAGTTGTGGCGTGTAGGGAGGGTGCTGTCTGGGACCGCTGGATTGTTGGCGTGTTCGCAAGTGACTCAGTTGTTCAGTTGTGTCTAGAAGTGGGACATTGCGCTCGCTTTTTCGGTTCATTCCTCCATTCCGTTCCTCGTCGGCGTTGAGTGATGAGTGTGTCGGTGGATGTTTGTCGCTGCGCGGTCGCTGCGGGTGGTGCGGCTCTGTAGTTTACTGAAGTCGCACTGTTACACCTGAGTGGATTCCTGTATAGGGCGATCTGGATTGCAGGTCTTACAGTCATTTTTTGATGGGGTTGGAGGGTTATGAGTATAATGCGGAAAATACGGTATGTTGGTCACTTGATTATTTTGGTACCGTTGTGATGAAAAGACTGAAAATTGTTTGTCTTTTGGATGCATGCACACTCAATTTTATGTTGCAGTAACCGGGATACTGCATATACATGCCATAGTACCCCGGTTACTATCAGAATATACCAGCTACAGTAACCCAGTTTCTCATAATACGGCTTTATTCGGGATACTGAAACGGGGATACTGTGTTTACATGCACCATGACGAAACCGAGATACTCAAAAAACCCGATCATACCCGGGATACTGATGTGCATGTAAACACACTTACTGAAATGAAAAACACTCTTTCTTTAGATAGATTTTTAATATTGATACCTGCAAAAAATGAGTATCTAGTTTTAATATTGATGACTATCTGATTTTCTATATTTCTGACAACACTAGTGAGCACATCAGTCAGCAGGGGGCGCTGTAGTGCAGGGCTCAGAGTTTGACGTACCCACTGGTCCTTTCTGGTTGGTGAAGAGGATGCTCTGGTTGCTTCCGTCTGTGTTGGCAATGCTGATGTTGTCTCCATCGGTCCAGTACAGTTTACTGGAAAAATAAATAAATAAAAGGAAAGATTTTTAATTAAATTCACATTTTGTTTGTATTATGGTTACACTGCGATCCCAAAGTTTATTTAGATTTAAGGGATGTTGCAATATCCAATGATAGTATTCAGATTTTCAAATGATTGTGAGAAGAAACATTCACACAACCATTCCTTCCTTCCTTTTGACACCAACTTTCAAACTCAAATTATGGCACCAAATGAAAAAAATAAAATAAAATAAAGAATAATCAAAACCTGTCATACATACTATACATTTAGGTTTAATTTTAGGGTATAGTTTTAATTGAATTCTCCTTTTAATTCTCTCTACAACAACTCACCCTTATATAACAGATAATACTCCCTACAACTGTACAACCACTCACTCTTATGTAACAGATAATACTCCCTACAACTATACAGCAACTCACCCTTATGTAACAGACAATAGTCCTTACAACTGTACAACTCATCCTTATGTAACACATAATACTCCCTACAACTGTACAACCACTCACACAACTGTAAAACAACTCACCCTTATGTAACAGATAATACTCTCTACAACTGTATATCAACACCCTCACTGATTTTCAATACAAACTTTTATTACTTATTAATCTCTATGGAGACAGGCAGGTGATGCAGGCAACATTTACAAGTCTGATCTGTGGAGAGGCCTACTCGTGTTAAGAATGATTGTAGTGAACACAAATTTCAATGAGTAATCCCTTAATTCAATAAACTCTAACTTTCTGTAAAGCTTACTCGGGACATGGCTATAAATACAGAGGAAAAACACATAATATGGCCCCTCCCTCCCTGTGTTTGCCCCAGTGCATTCTGGGAGAGGAGCCAATGTTTGGACCAGACATCTGCTTCCCATTTAAGCCCATGTTTACAATGAGTGGATTCAAATTCCTCAGAAAGGCTTTGAGGGGAGACGAAAATTACATAATCAAAGAACTGTAAATAGTACTATTTACACAAAAATAGTACAGATTATTGTGTGTCTTTTTAAGGAACAGTAAACAAAAAACAACAACATAAAAACATGAATATATTGTAATTTACTACGTAATGTTGTAATGTATTTTTTGCACAATGACAGTTATTTTCAGGATCAGGGCTGGTATCATTAAGAAGTTGACGATATGATACATACCTCGATACACAGGCCACGATATGATACATACCTCGGTACAGTACTTTCGATTCGATAAGATATATTTCAAATAGATTCGATACAATTCAATAAAAAAATAAAGGCTAAATCATGACCGTGATACTAAAAGTCTTTGTTAAACCACTTCTTGTGCAAAGTTCATATGAAACACAAACATTTTAATCATCAAAACAGTGAAAATGTCAAATGTGTCGCATAAACGAGTTTCCTTCCTCTAAACAAGCAACAAAACTGTAGCACTGTAACAAAATAATTTAGTAAAATATACCAAAAAATATACCAAAAATTATTCTTGGCGATATATCGATACAGCAGCCAACAGTATCAGTACTGTATCATCCAGTGGTGAACTGTGATCCTGGACCCTAGGCCTTCACTAGGACCAATTGTTGGCTATCAAGACATCATTTATTAAAAAAATAAAAAATAAAAAAATGAAGCTAAATGAAGCTTATTTCATATATTTCTTTAATAATCATTCGCCACTGTTCAACAAATACAGACAGATGGATCTACGCCTCCATGGACTCCGAGCCTCGCTCCAAGCTCTGGCCTGGCTGCGGGCTCCAAGATCCGGTTCCCAGGTCGTTCTTTCTTCTCCTTCTTTGTGACATCCCCGAAGCATCCAAATAGATGCGCCCAGTGCGTTTTTTGACGCTGCGGCCTTGCTTATATTTGCTATCACAGGGTATTCGCGAAGGCCCTGAAGATGTCACGATATGATCCCGCCCATAACTCAATGAAATATGATTGGCTAAGACAACTGTCAACCTCAAATTCATTCCCACATTGACTTATATTGCACAGGCCTTTGCTACAGCCACCGAAGCCCCTGCACATGTTTCTTTAGTTCAGCGCCTGTAGGAGGAGTCACTGATTTACCCAGATACCAATGGAAGAAAAATTGTGATTGGTCCATTTCCATTCCCTTTGTTTCCCAAGAAATATTAGTCCAAGTTTATAACCATGATCTCGAAATTATTACTAGTGTTGTGTTTATTACTCACTGAATAAAAAATATTGAAAAAATATATTAGTATTACAAACATTCTTTCAATATTTTTTCTTGGGCCTTCACTGAATACCTTAAAGGCTCTGATTGTTCCCCTCTGGTATCATCACATTGAACAATAAAACAGATCAATGTTTAGATACATTCTTGACAGTAATGCCTAATGAAGAAACATCTGCAAAACTAGTGGACCCTGCCAAATATTAAACCATATGGAGTCAATTTAGGGTCAAATTGAAACTGAAATCACAAATTTAAATCTGTAAAATAGTGTAAACTGCATAATAAGGACCTCAGGCTTCTTCTGTTCTACAACTAATAACTTTTGATCACTGTAACACAAGAAAAATCTGGAACAATATTTATTTTAGCTTCCCTTAGCTGAAAGTTGAAAACAAAAAACAAAAAAAGCATAATATGACTTGTTTGAAAAAGTAGCAGCAGAAACCACAGTCTCGACCGCGGTGCTGTTGTTGAAACTGAAATTGAAACTGAAATCACAAATTTAAACCTGTAAAATAGTGTAAACTGCAAAATAAGGAACTCAGCTAAAAACTTCAAAATGGTAGTCTTCAATTTGTACAAAATGAAACAAGTACTCTGTCAGGTTGCACACATTATTCCTCCTTTGTAATTTGGACAAAAGTTATAATCAGCAACTTAGCAACCTTATAAAATACCATACATAAATCATCTCCTAGTGTACCGTTTTAAAAAAGCAAAGTTGCCAATGTTTCAGAGATGACAAAATTAACGTTTTTGGATCAAAAATAGTTTTAGAACTGAAGAAGCCTCTTGGATGAGAAATGTAAAGTATTCTTTCTTAAAAACTTTTGTCCAGTGTTTTTTGCGATGGAACCTACCTGGACGACGGAAGGACCATGCATTTGACCCTAATTTGATGTCATATAAATGTAAAAATAATGTAAAAAGTAACCATCCATTTGAGATAAAATAGTGTCACGATTTGGGATTTCTATTTAGAAAAAATAGAAAATAAATAAAAAGTACAAAAAACACTTGCAAAAGATGGCAAATATGGAGAAACATTTCCAGACCAATGAGCAAACAAAGAGGAGTTATGGTTTCAGAGGGTCTCAGTGACGACCCCAGTGTGTGTGTGTGCGTGGTTGTGTGTGTGTGTGTGTGTGAGAGTGGACATACCCCAGTATTGGGTGCAGGACGAGGCAGTGCGGTTTGTCCAGGCCTTGGATCACGGCGTTCTTAAAGGAGCCGTCCAGACGAGCGACGTTGATCTGCTTCTTGTTTGAGTCATAGCTCGTCCAGAACAGGTTCCTCGAGACCCAGTCCACAGCCAGACCGTGAGCGTTGGGCAGGTCTGGAGACCACAAGACACCAGGTTCTTTAGTGTTTATTACAGTCTGTCTGACTGACCCTCTTCACTGTATAACCGACTCCTCTGTACCCTCTGCACCTTCTCTTCTGTGTAACTGACTCCTCTGCACCTTCTCCTAACCCCCTCCTCTGAACCCACTTTTCTGCATCTTCCTCTCTCTCATCTGCATCCTCTCCGCTGCACCTTCTCTTTTCTCTCCTTTGCTCCCTCTCATCTCTCCTCTGCACCCTCTCTCCTAGCACTTTCTCCTCACTCCTCTGCACCCTCATCTCTGCTCTACTGCCCTGTCCTCTGCATCCTCTCTACTGCACCTTCTCTTCTCTCTCCTCTGTGTAACTCTATCCTTTGCACCATCTCCTCTCTCTCCTCTAAACCCTCTGCTCTATGTAACCGACTCCTCTGCACCCTCTTCTCCACACCCTCTTCTCTCTCTCCTCTGCACCCTCTCCCCTGTCTAACCCTCTCCTCTGCACACTCTCGTCTCTCTCCTCTGCACCCTCTCATCTCTCTCCTCTTCACTCTCTCCTCTGCACCCTCTCGTCTCTCTCCTCTGCACTCTCTCCTCTGCACCCTCTTGTCTCTCCTCTGCACCCTCTCGTCTCTCTCCTCTGCACTCTCTCCTCTGCACCCTCTCGTCTCTCTCCTCTGCACTCTCTCCTCTCTCCTCTGCACCCTCTCATCTCTCTCCTCTAACCCTCTAGTTTCTCTCCTCTGCACTCTCTCCTCTGCGCCCTCTCATCTCTCTCCTCTGCACCCTCTCGTCTCTCCTCTTCACTCTCTCCTCTGCACTCTCTCCTCACTCCTCTGCACCCTCGTCTCTGCACCATCTCCTCTCCTTTGTGTAACCGACTCCTCTGCACCCTCTCTTCTGCACACTCTCCTCTGCGCCCTCTCCTCCACACCCTCTCCTCTCCCTCCTCTGTACCCTCTCACCTGCACCCTTTCCTCTCCTCTTCTCTCACACCTAGTATCATAATGTAATTGTTGGTCACAGATGGGCTGCGTTGCGTTCGTCTGGTTACCTCTGTAAGTATCTCACCAGCACCGAGTGTGGAGGGAATGAATTAATAATGATTATGAAGAATTTAATTGACTAAATATATATCAAGTAGTATCCTCAGCCACAGCTCTGCTTACTTGCAATTCTTTGAAACTGCTACTGTGAAAAAACTGAAAAAACTATCGACTAAAATAAATGATCAGAAAACCAAATGAAGCTCATGTTTTGATGTCATCTGAAACCAAGCAATCGCTAAAAAAAAACAAACAAAAAAAACTGAAAAAAGCATAATATGAGTTGTTTAAAAAAGTACCGGCAGACACGACAGTCTCGACCCCGGTGCCGTTGATGAAGGCCCTCTTGATGGTTTGAGTCCTGACGTCGGACCAGTAGATGCGGTGCTCCTGAGCGTCATAGTCCACCACGGTCACGTTATCGATGTCGGGGACGGTGAAGGAGATGATGTAGTTGTAATACGGGTTATCTATGTCCACTCCACGGATCTCGATCTGACGAGCGTAAAGCAGGAACTGACGCGATTCTGCAAGACAAGAGAAAGAAAAGAAATACAGTGACAGTCCTTTTTCAAATGTTGTGCATGTGTGACACCACCTTCCTCCTCCTCAGTAGAAACATCTCCTCCCGCCTCTTTACTCTAGAAATCACACTTGTTTACATCCAGTGCGTGTTCAGAATTACAGTTGCAGTGACCTGTCTAGAAATATTTTAGCGACCGACGCGTCAGTTTTTAGACCCTTCGTCTGCTTCATTCGCGCCATCGCTGGAAGGAATCTCCAAGAATCACCTCAGTTTGGCTTTGCTCCTTTTCTTCTTCTCTTCTTCTTTCAGCGACCTCAAAAACCGACTTTCTTTTGTGGCAAACTGGTCGTGGATTCTCGTCCGCTATCGTAACAAACTTTGTGCGAAATGCGAGGAAGCTACAGTTTTAAAAAAGCCTCTAAAAACCGCTGCATAAAGCACATAATCCCCAGTCAGTTACACTAGAAACATAGGGAGTTTGATTGACAACCTAACAGCCAATAGAAAATGAGGCTGCCTCGTTTTCTATTGGCTGATGTTTATCTGGCCTCACTACGTCCACAGTTGATAGACTTTCATTCTTTTTTTTTTGGTCATCATAATTACAAGGCTGCTGCGTCTCTGTAATGGTATTTTAAACTTTCACTGACAATTTGAAACAAAAACAAAAAAATCCTCCATACAACCTTTAATGAATCAGTCATATTTTATCACAATCACACTTTACCGACACATTATTTTGAAAGTTCTCCAGATGATTTCATGTCTGGCAAATCTCGACTGATATATTTATGTGTTTTTTATACGGAGATATGAGTCTGGTCTCTACTACCTCTATCACATCTCGAGTCTGGCAGATCATTTTACTTGTCAAGTGAAATTTACTCAAATCATGATCAAACTTTCTTAATTCAAGTCATCTTAACTTGACTAGATTTTTTTTTTCTCTGATCTGGCCAAGATTTTAAAACTTATATCAGGTTAATCATCTTCATGATCGACTTACTTGTTCTGAGACGCTTCATTCTAGTCTAAAAGTCGTTTATTTTAAGACAACTTGTCAAGTCAAATGATCTTTGAAGTCGTTTTCTGACAGATTTAGGTGTTTGTATGTTAAGCTTTTTTGCAGTGCACTTTCCTTCTGACTGAATGAGAGAAAAACACACGTTTAATTCAATCACTCGTCCTCTGGGATCATTGGTTTGGAGTCGGCTTAACTCAAAAGAACAAGTGATGAAGTGAATGAAACCGGCGCTTTAGAGCCATTACAAATGCACGGAGCACTTTATCAGTGACACTGAGGGAGCGACAGAGAAAGAGGGAGAGAGGGAGCGAGAGATTAAGTGAGAGAAAAAGAGAGAGATGGGGAAGAAAGAGACAAGGAGAGAGAGAGAGACACAAACACAGAAGAGAAAGAAGGTTAGAGGAGAGGGAGAGAGAATAGTGAGAGAAAAAGAAAGCAAGAGATAAAGAAAGCAAGAGAGGGGATGGAGAGAGAACAAGAAAGAGGAAGGAGAGAGTGATGTCTAGACAAAGAGAGGAGGAGGGAGAGCATGACATCAGGAAGAAAGAGAGGGTGGAGATGAGAGGGAGGGCGAAGAGAAAGAGCCAGGGAGAAAGCGAGGAAGGAGAGAAAAAAAGAGATGACGGCGACAAAGAGCGCAAAGGGGAGGGAGAAAGGACAGAAAAAGAGAGAGAGAAAGAAAGGAAAAGAGAGAATGAAAAGAGAGAGAGTTAAGGATGCAGAGAAAGAAGAAGTGAGAAAATAAGAGAGAGGGAAAGAGAGTGACAAAAGGGAAGCAAAAGAGTTGGAATCAAAGCGAGGATGAACGAGGGAGAAACAAAAAAGAGAACAAGAGGGAGAGAGAGAGAGAGAAGAAAGAAAGGGAAAAGAGAGAAAGAAATAAGAAGGAGAAGGAGAGACAAGGAGAGATAAAGAGAAAAAAGAGAGTCAAAATAGAGTGAAAGAAAGAATGTGTGTACGAGAGAAAGAGAGGACAGACAGAAGCGAGCGAAATAAAGAGAAAGTAAAGAAGAGACAGGTAGAGTCCACTGATAGAAAATGATAGAAAATAAAAGAGAGGGAGACAGCGAGAAAAGGAAGGAGAAAGAGTTGGAATCAGAGCAAGGATGAGAGAGGGCTCTCTTCCTCCCTCTGTCACTCCAAGCTGTTCCTCTCCCTCCCTCTCTCCCTCTCTGCCTCTCTCCCTTTCCCTTTTTCTCTCCATCCCACTCCCTCTCTCTCTCTCTCTCTCACTCACTCTTACTCCCTCCTTCTCTCCTTCCCATTCCCTCTCTCTCTCTCTCTCCCCACTTTCTCTCTCCATTTTTCTCTTCCTCCCACTCCCTCTCCCCCTCTCTTTCGTCATCCCTCTCTCTGCCCTATTTTCTGTCCCTCCCTCTTTGTCTCCCTTTTTTCCCCTTTCCCTCCTTCTCCCCCTCTCTTTACCTCTCTCCCTCCCCGTTCTCTCTCTCTTCCATTCACTCGCTCTCTCCCCCGTTCTCTCTCCCTCACTTTTTCTCTCCCTCCCTTTCCCTCTCTCTCCCTCCTTCACCCCTTTTCTCTCCCTCTCCCTCCTTCTCTCCCTTTCCCTTTTTCTCTCCCTCCCTTTCCCTCTCTCCCTCCCCCATTTTCTCTTCCATACTCTCTCTTCCATTCTCTCTTTCTCTGTCTCTTCCACACGCTCTCTCTCTTTTCCCCATTCTCTCCCTTCCTCCCTCTCTGCCTCACTCTCTCGCCTTCTTTCTCTTTTTCTCTTCCTCACCCTCTTTCTCTCCCTCCCACTCCCTCTCTCTTCATATCTCTCTCTCCCCTATTCTCTGTCCCTCTCTCTCCCCACTCTCCCTCCTTCTCTCCCTCTTTCCCTCTCTCCCCTCCTTCTCTCCTCTTTCCCTCTCTCTCCTTCTCTCCCTCTCTTTCACTCTCTCCCTCCCCATTCTCTCTCTCTTCCATTCACTCTCTCTCTCCCCCGTTCTCTCTCCCTCACTCTTTCTCCTTCTCTCCCTCCTTCCCTCCTTTTCCCTTTTTCTCTCCCGCTCATATTCCTTCTCTCCCTCCCCCGTTCTCTCTCTCTTCCATACTCTCTCCATTCTCTCTCTCTTTCCCACACACTCTCTCTCTTTTTCCCCCATTCACTTCCTCCCTCCCTGCCCCAGTCTCTCTCCTTCTTTCCCTTTCTCTTTTTCTCTCCCTCCCATTCCCTCTTTCCCTCCCCTGTTTCATACTCTCTCTTCCATTCTCTCTCTCTCTCCCACACGCTCTCTCTCTCTCTCGCTCTCTCTCTTTTACCCCATTCTCTCCCTCCCTGCCTCAGTCTCTCTCCTTCTCTCCCTTTCTGTTTTTCTCACCCTCACCCTCCTTCCCTCCCTCCCTTTCCCCCTCTCTCTCTTCCTCCCCGCCTCTCTGCCTCGCTCTCCCTTTCCCTCTCTCTCTCTCCCTCCTTCTCTCCCTCCATCTCTCTCTCTCTCTCTGTGTGCAGTTGAGCAGAGTGATAAGATAAAGCAGCATTCAGACACTTTTGCAGAGATAAGCAGCGAAACGTCTCTGTCGCTTTGTATTAGAATCACACACAAAGCCCGAGCTCTGTGTTTGTGTGTTTGTGTGTTTGTGGTTTTGTGTTTGTGCGTTTCTAGACGCGCTCAACGATTTGGGTCATTTCAATCGCAATTAGACTTTAAACATGTCCAGAAGAAGTGAAAAAAGACTGAAATCTGAACTGACAAACTAATACAAGGATCCCATTTCAGAGCATGTTTGTGCAGACCCAGACTACAGGGTTACAGTTTTTATGCACAGGATGAAGGACATTTTGTTGGTTGTACTTGAAAAACTGCAGCCTTTACCACTGCGTCCATTCAAATAGCTTTTTGGATTTGACCGTGATTCATCTTGCAGCCCAAGTTTGAATCTTCTGTATGTTAGTTTCATGAAGTGACGGCAGGAGCAGGAGGAGCTCTTTTTGAAGGTGTGTAGTAGCTTGTGTACTAGTTTGTGTTGTTTACTATGATATCCTGTCTCCCAGTTCCAGATTCAAATAGAATCTAGAAAGGACTGGCAGGTCAGTTGTGTTGTAGTTGTGTAATAGTTCATGTAGGAGTTTCTATAGTAGTTTGCAGTAGTTTGTGTACTTGTATAGTTGTGTGTTTTACCATAGCAGGTGCGTTTGTCTGGGCCGAGCTTCATGAGGTGAGGACAGGAGCAGGAGAACGTCTGGTTGTAGTTGTGTAGTAGTTTGTGTAGTAGTCTGCGTGTAGTTGTGTGTAGTAGTTTTTGCAGTAGTTTGTATAATTGTGTATTTTACTGTAGCAGGTGTGTTTGTCTGGTCCGAGCTTCATGAGAGAAAGTCTGGTTGTAGTTGTGTAGTAGTTTGTGTAGTGCTTCATGTAGTAGTTTGTGCAGTAGTTTGTATAGTTGTGTATTTTACCGTAGCAGGTATGTTTGTGGTTGTAGCTGTGTAGTAGTTGGTGTAGTACTTCATGTAGTAGTTTGTGTAGCAGTTTGTATAAGTTGTAAAATAATGTATAATTTGTATAGTTGTGTATTTTACCATAGTAGGTGCGTCTGTCCAGGCCCAGCTTCATGAGGTGAAGACAGGAGCAGGAGAAGGTCTGGTTGTAATTGGTGTAGTAGTTTGTGTAGTAGTTTGTGTACTAGCTTGTGTAGTCCAAGCCGAGCTTCATGAGGTGAGGACAGGAGCAGGAAAAGGTTTGGTTGTAGTTGTGTAGTAGTTTGTGCAGTAGATTTTGCAGTAGTTTGTGTAGTAGGTTGTACAGTAATTTTTGCAGTAGTTTGTGTATTTGTGTAGTTGTGTGTTTTACCGTAGCAGATGTGTCTGTCCAGGCCCAGCTTCATGAGGTGAGGAGAGGAACAAGAGAAGGTCTGGCTGCAGTTCTGTGTAGTAGTTTGTGCAGTAGTTTGTGTAGTAGTTTGTGTAGTAGTTTGTGCAGTAGCTTTTGTAGTAGCTTGTGTAGTAGTTTGTGTAGTAGTTTGTGTAGTAGTTTGCAGTAGCTTGTGTAGTAGTTTGTATAGTTGTGTGTTTTACCGTAGCAGGTGCGTTTGTCCGGGCCGAGCTTCATGAGGTGAGGACAGGAGCAGGAGAAGGTCTGGTTGTAGTTGATGAGACACAGATGAGAACATGGATCCTTTCCGTCTTTGGCAGCACACGGATTGGGAGCTGAGGAAAAAGAGACATAAAAGAGGATGATGTAAGAGTAATTTTGTGAATATTTGTTATTTTTTGGATCTCAAGTTGATTATTCATTCAGAAAGATGAAAGAGTTCCTTTTGATTTACCAGAACTAACTTGTGATTGACGACAAATGATGAACATCCATGCATGCTGAAATCAGGTACAGTAAACACACTACAAAAGACTTCATATTTGTTTAATTGAAATTCTCACTTCAATCATCCATTATATTGTTTTTTAAATCAAGTTTTGACAAGTTTTGATTGATTCAGTTTGTTGCTTTAAAGATTTGGACTTGTTCTGGGTATTTTTACAAAAGAAATTAGATCATCTGAATATTTTAACTGCACAGACAGACAGACTCAAACAAGAAATATACAAATATACATCAAAATCTGTTTGAAATTTCCAACTCGTCAAAATGAAGGAATCAATATTAATGATTTGAATTCAGCTAAGTTTAAAGGTTTTTAAACTAAAGAGCTAAACAATCTGCATAACATTTTCTGTGGATCTTTAAAAATAGCTGTGGAATAAACCAAAGCTGCAGCTCTGATACTGAGGGCCTTGAGGGTAAAAACGACAAAATATTTTATCCGAGGTGCTTTTCGTTTAGACAGTGACAGCGTTTTGGGGGCTTAAAAATTCAATATCTGAAACCACCCTCCAGAATGGAAAAGTTGAATACGCTCCGCCGTAGTGTTTCCATCTACACTGCCCAAGATGCAAAACTCTATTCAGATGTGCTCAGGTCACGTACATGTTTACGTCACAAACATACAGTACACAGACACCTGGCATGCATACACAATTGAATTCCACACACTTTTGCATCACCGTATGCATGCAGATTTCCTCCCGAAAACGTTTGTCTTTTGTATGCTATGGACTCATGTAATACTGTAGTGCTACATAGAAATGATTGTCCCTTCCAATAACTTAAGACTAAACTAAGGTGCACTCTTTAAAGTGTAGAACAATCAAATCATTCAAGTTCTAGTGCAGAGGTGTCCAATTTTTTTTCATCAAGGGCCACATATCTAAACACAGATAAAGCCCAGGGCTGATAGAGGGCTGTAGACTGGGACTGAATACAGTGAATAAATGAACTATGTGGATGTTTAACATGTTAGAATGAGCCATCTTTATTCATGCTAAGATCCTTAAAACCACACACTAAATATTAAATATTAGCTTTATCAAGGTAGATACTCTTGCAGTAAAGAGTAAAATTTTAATTGATGTAAGATAATTTGGGCCAATTCACCTGGAAGCCTGAGGGCCAAGAAAAATTTGTCTGAGGGCCACATTTGGCCCATGGGCCATAGTTTGGACATGCCTGCTCTAGTGTATGGTGTGAGGAGCAATGTCCGATTCACCTCGAAGTTGTGGAGATGCTGGCGTTCCTGTCTGTACACATTGTAACATACAGTGTATATAAAAATGTTCTTCTTTTTTTTTCTACTTACTAACTATGCATCAGACATTATGTGTTCTTAAAGGGATAGTCTGGAATTTTGGACATAGAACCTCATTTCCTAGTGAGCCAGAGTGTTGGAGACGTGTGGAGACACTTTTTAAAATATTCCATCCAGTCCTTGTGTCTGCAGAGGTCGCTGGTGCTAGGCTAGTGCATATCAATGACCATAGTTATCCTGCCACTAAAAACACTTACCTACTCCACAAAACACCCGAAGAAAATCTATTATTACACCAGACTGTCCATGTAAATGTCTGTGTTTTAATTAAGATGGAACTGAACTGAACTGGGATGTGTTCTCACCCTGGGGCTGTCTGGAGGGATGGTACACCTGCAGGTCGAATGGTTGTGTATTGGTCCTCTGCACCACAGTCACGTTGCTGCCGGTCCATTTGTTTGCTTTGGCCAGAGTGTTGGTCCTCCAGTCGGTCCAGTACACCTCTCCCCCGTACATGGTCACCGCGAATGGGTGAGACAGGTACTCATGCCCCCTGAGCACCTCGATCAGGCCGGAGCCATCGTACTTCGCAGAGTAGATGGCATCAGATCTGCAAAAAAGTGCACACAATTCAATATGACTCAATTGACACTGCAAAAATGAATATTTTTGTTAGCAAAAGAAATTTCACAGAAGAGTAAAACTGGAATCAAAACTAAATGCTGATTTGAGCAGCTATCTGTAGAATGATGTTGAGCTGTATCAGAACAAGTAGAAGAGCACACAAACTAGTACACACACATGGACACTATGGAACCTACCTGCACCACTGAGGGATTATACACATTCTACTGTCAAAAGATAGAGTGTTTTTTAAATTATTATTGTGGTACCGGAATTGGTATTGATTATCAAGTCCTATTCCTATTCCTTAGTATGAAAATGTTAGTATCATGACAACACCAGTATGAATGTGGTGTGTGTGTGTGAGTGTTGATGGTGGTTGGAGGGGTTGATGGAAGAGATGTACAGCCTCACTTCTGTAAGTTTACCCCAAGGCAGCTATGGCTACAGAAATACCTCTCTGAAATACCTGCAACCTATAATAATGCCCCATAAAGCATCTTTGAGTGTCCAAAAAAAGTGCTATACAAATCCAATGCATTATTATTATTATTCTTCACTTTTCTGGTGGAGTTTCTGAAAGCTGCTTGCCTCCATGGAGATATTATTGCTTTGCCTGAAATGATCCACAGTATGGCATTTAACACATCACTATGGAAATCAAACTTCTTGCTGTGAGGAAATGGAGCAGACCTCTAAACCAATATGCTTCCTTAAAATAATATGAGATTAAATCTTAAAAAAAAAAAAGAACAACAATATTTTACCATCAGAAAACCGTATCAAAACAGGTCATACACACTGAGGGTCGCACAGTCACCACATCAAAAGTGTAAACATGTAAACTAAACATGTAACTAAACATGTAACTAAACATGTAAACTCCACACAGACATAAAAAGAACAAGCAAGCTACACATGTACAGAGGAAGAACATGCAAAACTCAACCCAGACACAGGTAGAACACGCAAACTCCACAGAGACGCAGGAAGAACACGCAAACTCCACCCAGACACAGGTAGAACCCACTAACTCCACAGAGACACAGGTAGAACACGCAAACTCCACGCAAACTCCACACAGACACAGAAATGACAAGCAAACCACACACACACACACAAAGGAAGAACATACAAAGTCCACACAGATGCAGGGAGAACACACAAACTCCACACAGACACAGAAAGAACAAGCAAACAACACACACGCACACAGAGAAAGAACAGGCAAACTCCACCCAGGCACATGGAGAATATGCAAACCACACACATACACACACACAAAGGAAGAACACACAAACTCCACACAGACACATAAAGAACAAGCAAAGTACACACACATACACACAGAGGAAGAACATGCAACCTACACAAACACAGGGGAAGAACATAAAAACTCCACCCAAACGCAGAGAGAACATGCAAACCACACACCCTCACACAGAAAACATGCAAACTCAAAGCAGGCCATACACTAATAGAACAATAAGGGTTGTACAAACACCACATCATAAGTGGGACTAAAGATAGATCAACCCAGGACTAAACCAGGACTAAACCAGGGCAAGTGTGAAATCTAGAGTAAAACTACCACTTCCAGGCCATGACACCTCCAATAGGAAATACCAGGAATAGAAATAAAATGGATCTAAACTATAACTCTACATAAATAATGTCACTAACATTTGTATTTGTATTTCTTGTATGGAAACAGTCTTGTGCGTCTTGTGTCTGACCTGGCGTCGATCCAGAGTATGCGGCGCTCCAGGTAGTCCACAGTCAGTCCGTTGGGCCAGCCTCCATTTCCTGTTTCTTTGTGGATGGTTTTGCGTCCCTGTCCGCTCATGGACGCAGCCTCGATCCTGGGCATGCTCGCGTCCCAGTCCGTCCAGAACAGGATTCTAAACAAACATCAAAAGAATCAACATTTTTAATGCAATCAGCCTATATCAATTATGTTCTTTTTACAATTAGACAAAGTAAAACAGTAAAAGTAAAGTGATTTATTCATCATTATACATAAAAGTTGTTGAATGAAATTGTAAATGTGAGGATCTATGTGCCAGTCCTCCATACCAGAATACAATGTCTGATGTCGGGAATTGAATTCAGAAACTTCTTGCAATTAGATTTTTTCCAACTTGAATTGAAGATATGCAAAATTTGAATATTGACTAGGATCCGACCAATATGGATTTTTTTGTGGCCGATATGATACCAATAAAATGGGAGCTGGAGATGCCAATAGCCGATATAAAAGTCGATATATTTAGTGATGTAAAAATTCACTGTAAATCTTCAATTGATTATAAAACTTAAGTTTGGCTGTACTGGATTTTATACTGGGTTTGTTTATGCAACATTTATTGATATTCTGCCTCTTTACAGTCATATTTAACGCATAAATATAAATGCGTGTGTTATGTTTACTGTATTTAACTGTCTTATGTCTCTTTAATTTACTCCTTTAGTAATAATAGTAGAAGAAGAACGTTAAACAGAGTTGTTGTTCAGGCTTCACTTCAGCAAAATGGCCACCATTCAGCTCTGGTGTTTCTTTTTGGTGTTTGTTTAAGCATTGTCTATAAATATTACATGGTAAAACATGATTATACACCTGTAATATTGTCTGTTGTGTTTGAAATGAACTAGTTCACAAGTTTTTGGCCATTGAAATTGAATCTGCTATTCATATGCTAATTTTGCTATGCTAACTGTTATGCTAACTACTTAGATTCATTGACTGTAACTTTAACTGTTGGTGCTATTTATATTTAGTAATACAGTAATTAATTATGGGTAAATGCGGATCATTCACACCTCTATACATTGCTCATTTATGAAGAAATAACGAAAAGTAGCTTCAAAAACGAACACATTTGTAAATCATACAGGCACCTCTCAGATCACAAGTCTTCACAAATAAGTGTCCTTTTAATCCTGACTCAAAACAATAGTCCCTAAAAATAATATGATCTTGAATGTTGACAGCAGCTGTGTGTGTAAACAAGCACAAACAAGTGAGTGACGTGGTGTGTTCAGGGGCAGTTTAGCGTTACAGACACAGACAAATGACTCTGCACATAAATACTTGATGTGGCGCCAAATATTAGAACATTTATCTGTCTGTAACTGGATTAAATGACTGTATAATGAGGTATAACATGCCCACGTGGACTATCGGTCCAGATCGGCAAGATTTAGGCCGATAGCCGATATGTCTCTAAGTGCCCATATTGGTCGACAATATCAGCCAAATGATATATCTACCTAATATTTATGTCACTATGCTCCACCCTTAGTGTTGAGTGTTCATGTTTCCGAGTTCAGTGACGGTAAAAAAAAAAAAAAAAAATTCTGTCTTTCTTTACAACTCACAAGTTACTCAAATCTCTTCCCTTAACAGTAACTTTGTGTATACAGTTTACATCAGGCGCCAAAGTCCTCAAAATGGCGTCCTCACCCGTCCCGTGGGTCCAGTGCGATGGCCCTCGGGTGCTCCACTTCCCCGGCGAGCAGAGTGGTCCTCATGGTGCCGTCCAGTTTGGCCACTTCGATCTGGTCCAAGTTACTCTCCACCCAGTAAATGTTCCCGGCGATCCAGTCCACTGCCAGACCCTCGGGCGTGGCCAGACCGTACTGAATCACCACGTCGAAACTGGTCAGAGCTGTGGAGAGGAGAGGAGGGGAGAGAGGAGGAAGGAAAGAGGACGTCATTAAAAGGGAGAAAACTATTTGCAAGGGAAAAAAAATAATACAGAAAATACGGCCTTCAATAGCTTCAATCAGCAAAATAAGAACATAAAGAACATGCAAACTCCACAGAGAAGCAGGGAGAACATGCAAACTCCACACAGATACAGGGAGAACAAGCAAACTCTACACAGATACAGGGAGAACAAGCAAATTCTATACAGACTCAGAAAGAACAAGCAAACTCCACACAGAGGCAAGGAGAACACACAAACTCTACACAAACACAATGAGAACATGCAAACTCCACCCAGACACATTGAGAACACGCAAACTCCACACAGAAAAAAGAACATGCAAACTCCAAACAGACACTGAAAGAACAAGCAAAATCCACACAGACAAAATAAGAACACGCAAACTCCACACAGACACAGAAAGAACAAGCAAACTACACACACACACACACACACACAAAGAAAGAACATGCAAACTCCACCCAGACAAACTGAGTACATGCAAACCACACGCACAGACACAGAGAGAACACAAAACTCCACAAAGACACAGGGACAAAATGCAAACTCCAGACAGAAACAAAGAGAACATGCAAACTCTAAACAGACACAGGGAGAACATGCAAACTCCACACAGATGCAGGAAGAATACGCAAACTACACACACACACACACATACACACAAAGGAAGAACATGCAAACTCCACCCAGACAAACATGAAAACCACACACACACACACACACACAGATCACGAAACTCCACACAAACACAGGGAGAATATGCAAACCACACACACACAGTCACAGTAAGAGCACATGCAAACTCCACACAGACACAGAGAGAACACGCAAACTCCACACAAATGGAAGGAGAACACAGAAAATCTACATAGACACAGGAAGAACATGCAAACCACACACACACAGATACAGAGAGAACATGAAAACTCCACACAGACACAGGGAGAACATGTAAACTCTACATAGACAATAGGAGAACATGCAATCGATACACAGACACAGAACGAACAAGAAAACTCACACACATAGAGGAAGAACATACAAACTTTATCCAGATACATTGAGAACATGCAAACCACACAGACATATACACAGTAAGAACACACAAACTCTACATAGATGCACGGAGAACAGGCAAATCACACATTCACACACAGGGAGAACATGCAAACTCCACCCAGATACAGAGAGAACATGCAGACTCCAGTGTTTGCAAAGGCCCTGTGAGGCTGGAGGTGTGTCTTGAGTGTGAGAGGTGACAGTGTTAAAGCTCGGAGCCTGTGCCTCCTGACCGCCTCTTTTCTCTGCTCAATCTTTGTTTAAATCTGCTGATAAAACTAATGCTAATATTTCAACTTTCTGCTTCACAAAGTAAACGTTGCCGGCGGTGCTTTATGATTAATTCAAACATGATTACGAAATGTGAGAATAAAAAGCTTTGAAAGGCTGAGACAGAGCCAGCGGCAAACCCCACTCTAACCCAGATTGGATTTGTGCTCCACTTCACTGTTTAGCTCCTGTTTCTGTGCAATAAGGCCATTTCTATTCACAGCTGAAAAAGTCATCTCCACACGTACACGCACTTCTGACAATTGTACCGTCAACAAAGAATCAAAACATCAAGGAAATCTGAAAGGAAACGCCGAGGCAAACAAAACAACTCCACAGTATAAATACAACTGCAGTACTGCCTCTTTGTATAACAGCAAGTATAGTAGTAATAGAAGTAAAGTATTAATATTACTGTAGTAGTGAGGGTCCATAAAGGTCAATAGACAACAGGATTAAATGTACAGGGTGTACAAAAAAGTATTTAGTCAGCCACCAATATATGCATAAAGAATTTCAGACTTCTGGTCATTGCGCAATGCATACTGGGAAGGATTTCCCAAAAAAGTGAGAATCAAACCGCCATGTTTGTTTTCCCAGTGGGATGTGTCTATTGACAAAGCCGATCTTTTCTAGTCTTTTGAACCATATCATTTTGTTTCTGGTTCTGATATTGTCATATTTTAGTTTTGGGATTCGGACATCGTAATTGTGTGGTTGTTGGATCCTAACACCGGAAAACGGCTCGAGAAATTTGTTGTAAAAGGAAAAGGGAATCAGATGTGTGTGACTGCAAACCTCCGTTCAAACTCTTTTCCTTCCCAACGGAATTGAAAAATAGTGAAAGGTGAAGGTGATGGGCAGGATTGATCCACAGGAAGAACCAAAAAGGAAACCTTTGACTGCCTAAATCATCCTGAGTTTGCAGCGAACACTTTGTATGTGGAGCACCAACAAACCGGGATCCCGTTTGTTAAGCGAGAGGTGCAGAAGACAAACAGACTGAGCTGCACTTTCTTGTTCTTGTGGTTTTACAGAAACATCACGTCTTGGTCTCTTTGCAGTGGAAGGTGTTTCTTGGTGAACAGCTGGTGCCTTTTGCTTTGGCGTTGACTCTTTAAATTCATAACTGAGATTGAGGATCGGGATTTTGCTTTGATGGCGCTCCACATACAATATGTTCGCTGCAAACTCGGGATGATTTAGGCAGTCAAAGGTTTCCTTTTTGGTTCTTCCTGTGGATCAATCCTGCCCATCACCTTCGCCTTTCACTATTTTTCAATTCTGTTGGGAAGGGAAACAGTTTGAACGGAGGTGTGTAGATCTGATTCCCTTTTGCAGTTACGGAGTTTGCAAACAAATTTCTCAAACCGTTTTCCGGTGTTAGGATCCAACAACCACACAATTACGATGTCCGAATCCCAAAGCTAAAATATGACAATATCAGAACCAGAAACAAAAGTGATATGGTTCAAAAGACTAGAAAAGATCAGCTTTGTCAATAGACTCATCCCACTGGGAAAACAAACATGGCAGTTTGATGCTCACTTTTTCGGAAAATTCTTCCCAATATGCACTGTGCAATGACCGGAAGTCCGAGATTCTTGATGTATCTATTGTGCAAGTTCTCCCACTTAAAAAAGATGAGAGAGGCCTGTAATTTTTATCATAGGTACATTTCAATGTAGAGAAATCACATTGTAGGATTTTTTTTTTTAATTAACTGGTCAATTCCTCAGTAAAATAAGTATTTGGTCACCTACAAACAAGCAAGATTTGTGTCTCTCACAGACCTGTCACTTGCTCTTTAAGAGGCTCCTCTGTCCTCCACTTGTTCCCTGTGTGAATGACTCCTGTTTGAACTGTTTCTCAGTATAAAAGACACCTGTCCACAACCTCAAACAGTCACACTCCAAACTCCACTCTGGCCAAAAGCTGTCAAAGGACATCACAAACTAAAGTGTAGACCTGCACCAGGCTGGGAAGACTGAATCTGAAATAGGTAAGCAGCTTGATGTGAAGAAATCAACTGTGGGAGCAATTCTTAGACATACAAGACCACTGATCATGTCTCTCCATCTGGGGCTCCACGCAAGATCTCATCCTGTGGGGTCAAAATGATCACAAGAACAGTGAGCAAAAATCCCAGAACCACATGGGGGGGCATAGTGACTGACCTACAGGGACTCAAACCCTGCAGTGCCAGACGTGTCCCCCTGTGTGTGTGTGTCCTTAAGCCAGGACATGTCCAGGCCCGTCTGAAGCTTGCTAGAGAGCATTTGGATGATCCAGAGGAGGACTGGGAGAATGTCCTATGGTCAGATGAAAACAAAATAAAACTTTTTGGTAACTTGTGGTGTTTGGAGGAGAAAGAATGCTGAGGTCAAAGAACACCAGACCTACTGTGAAGCATGGGGGTGGAAACATCATGGTTTGGGGCTATTTTTCTGCAAAGGGACCAGGACGACTGATCCGTGTAAAGGAAAGATGAATGGAGCCATGTATCGTGAGATTTGGAGTGAAAACCTTCTTCCATCAGTAAGGGCACTGAAGATGAAACGTGGCGGGTCTTTCAGCATGACAATGATCCCAAACACACTGCCCGGGCAACCAAGGAGTGGCTTTGTAAGACGCATTTCAAGGTCCTGGAGCGGCCTAGCCAGTCTCCAGATCTCAACCCCACAGACAATCTTAGAAAAGTAAAAGTATTTTTTTATTATAGTTGGACACCTGTCGTGAAGGCTGACCGCTTATTTTTATCACATTTGTAATTTAGGGCAAACAAAAATATATTAAATATATTTTTAAAAACTCAAAGTTCTTTATCAAAATCACTACATTGAAGCTTTATTAGATCTCAAACTCTGTGAAATAATTTTACTTTTACTCTTTAAGTACATTTTTAAACAGCGACTTCAATACTTGAATGTATACTTTTAATACTACCTTAAGTTCAGTGTTGGGGAGTAACAGATTACATGTACTGGAGTTACGTAATCAGAGTACAAATTATGAGTAACTGTATTCGGTTACTGTTTCAGTGAGTGGTAATTGGATTACAGTTATTTTGTTGAAATAAATGGATTACACGATGGTACTTTCCTGTTTTTAAATTTTGGGCTATATCCCTTTTTTTTCCGTAATTCCACTCATTGCTGGACACTAAACCAGGTCTAAACCAGGTCTAAAACCAGGTCTAAACCAGGACTAACCCAGGTCTAAAACAAGGTCTAAAACAGGATTTAACAGGACCATGTCTCCTCCTCTTCTATCAATAATATTTTTAATACGGCTAAGTAAAGTCTGGGCTTTTTATTTTCTTTTAGCCGGCAAAACATTTTATGTGAAGATTTCCTAGTCTTTGCTTCTCTACAGCAAATTAAGTAATCTAAAGTATTCAGATTATGTTACTCACCTTAAGTAATTTAATGGATTACGTTACAAACTAAATTTTGGGGCATGTAATCTGTAATCTGTAGGGGAATACATTTTAAAAGTAACCTTCCCAACACTGTTTAAATTTATTCAGTTATAGGCAGCTTTATTGCTCAAAAATACTAAGAAAAACAGGTATTCTGACTGCGAGCGGGGTCGCCTCTCCACAGATC